AATGAGAGGAAGCACACCACATTCGCGTGCTGATGGGCCCCACTCCCTGCCTTAATCCTCCAGGAAAGGATTTCTGTCCTTACTGAGTCACTAGAAAGGGGTCTGGGGTCTCTGGATCCTGGGGGTACCAGAGGCCATTTTCACCTCTCTAGGAAGAAACAATCTCCCCAAAACTCAAGTAGTGCCAGCCCCTCTGGGCAGCACAGATCTTCCACTCATCCCCCGACAGGCTGCTGCTCCATTTACAGCCATAGAACCCACACCCAGAGCACTGCATAGCCCGGCTGGATGCAGAGGCACCCTGGCCTCAGCCCACCCTAGCACACTGTCTCCCCTGCTGGGCCCTGCCAGCCGCGCTGATGCTGACAGAGGTATCTAAATGCAGGCCTGGTACTCAGCCATGGGAGTCGGAGCTGGAGGTCAGAGCAGTAACAGCTCCACTCATCCGCGCCTCCGGAATACCAATGGGGGATGTAGCAATGATACAGGTGAGACTTTAGAACTTCCTGCCGTGCATGGGACATGACTTCTTCCAAGGAGCAGGACAGAGCCCCCACACTCCTTCCCACTATACTCAGAGACCCTCTTGTTCCCACCCCTGGGTCCCAGGCCTGGATGTGCCCAGGTGTGCTGGATTATGCCCCAGAGGCCTTCCTGGTATATGCACTAGAGGTGGCACCATTTAGTGGCTGGGGCCACCATCTTTGAGATTCAAATCCTTCCCCTGCTACTTCCTAGCTGTGTGGGCTCAGGGGTAGCTTAACCTCTCCCAGCCTCAGTCTGGCCATCTGTTAGTGGAGTTGCCATGAGAGTGATTGAGGTAGTGTGTACAAAGGACATAAAATGGGCCCTCACCAAGGAATGGCTCCAAAATTGTCACCTATGAATATTGTCCACCTTCCAGTTATCCACACAGGAGCCCTGGGCTCCAACACTTGACACTTTCATAAGACCTTCACCAACTCCCTTAACATCCTGAGCTTTGGTTTTCCTCATCTGTGAAATGGAGACATTAGTGTAGGTAAACCGAGGCTCACAATAGTGCCCCACAGGTACGGAAAGGCTAAGGGGATATAAAAGTTTATGCTCCAGATCGCAAACCCTAGGAGTACCCAGGATAGTGGGCAGGAGGTGCTGGGGTCTCTGCCACATCTTTACCCATATTGTGCCGCCCCCTCATCCACTGCCTATCTCTCCCCATCCTCAGGTGACTCATTCACATTATCTCCAGAGCCCAGGCCTCGCTCTGCATGTCTAATCCCGGCCTGGCTGGGCTGCTAAGGAGTCAAGAAGGAAGAGCAGACTCCTTGCCTTCCCCTGGGGTAGCCTCAGCCCTGGCAAAGAGGAGGGAGCCCTGGCTGGTCCACACACATACCCCTCAGGAGTGCACACACACGTGTGTCCCACCCTGGCCACCCTGCCCTTCAGAACTCACCTTGCTATCCTCTCACCACCAGACCAGCTGTCCTAGAGGAACCAGGCTAGCCTGGGCTCCTGGGTAGCCCCATCCTGGGACATGCCTTAGCCTCAGTTTGGGACAAGGCACGGCCTTTGAATTTTCCAGCACCCCTCAGGCCTCTCCAGAACTGGCCAGGTCTTGGGGAGGGCTGGGACCCTAAAAATAATGACCTTTGAGCGTGCATTCCTAAGCTCCCGCCTCCATGAGCTCGGAGCACATTTCACTCTGACAACAACCTATTTTAATATCCCCATTTCACAGATGAGAAAACTGACCCCAGAGAGGCTGAGTGACTTTTCTAGGCCACATAGCCAATAAGTGGCCAAGCTAGAACCCAGATCTATGTGACAGAGCCTGACCTCTTAGCCACACACTGCTGCTTCTGTAACACAAGCTGGAGAAGATGAAGCGTGTGGGGTAGAAGACATGGTCTAATAGCCCTGGCTCCAACTACTGCCCTGTCACCTTACTGTGTGACTCTGGGAAAGCCACCTCGCTTCTCTGAGTCTCAATTCTCCCATATGCAAAATGAGAACAAAAACACGTAGCCCACAGTGTTATTACTAAGATCCATGATAGTCATGGGAGTGTCTGACACAGGCAGGGCTCAGTCCAGGGCCAAAGGACTGCCCCAAGCTTGAGTGGACAGGGTGTGGGTAGGAAACACCAGTGCTAACAGCCTGGTTGGCAATGGATCATCTTAAGTACCACCTGGGGCTTCTCACCTGAAGGACAGAGCTAGATTACCATCCTAGCTCCTCCACATTCTGGCTGTGTGGTCTTGGGAAAGTGACCTACCTTCTCTGGCCTCGGTTTCTTCATCCTTAAAATGGGCATAATTGTGCTCTGCTGAAGAACCCAGAGCCCAGCACACAGCAGGCACCCAGGACTTGCTCAGCACCCTCAGATGCACAAGTCCAGTCTGGAGAGCACACCCTCCTCACCACTTCCTCCCCAGCACGCCTCCGAGCAACTCACTGATGATTTATACTTCAGAGGACGAATCAATACAATATACAGCCAAAGACATCTTTAATCTTCTGCAGGGATTAGGCTACAAGGTAGAGTGGCCTCTTTCTACTGGCTGCTCAATTCTGATTTCAATTTGGCCAGCTGTAGCTCGGCTCACTCTCTCCTTTTCTCTTCACCCGCCTAAAGATGTTCTTCCAAATCAAATTTCATTTAGTAGGTGGGGTGAGGAGACCTAGCTGCCTGTACCCAGGGCAGACCCAGCCAGGCCCCTGGGGACTGTCACATTCTGGCATGGGGTGTCTGCAGGAGGGTCTGGGAACATGGGAGGTCTAGCCAAGTGGGAAGCCAGGCCCTCAGCCTTGTGGGGATGGCATTCAGGGGCAGCAGGCAATAAGGAACACTTCTGCCAGCACAGGAGGGCCTGAGCAAGAGGCCCGGGTGCAGGCACAGTGGAGAATTATCTTATTTTTCTAGATTGTGAGGTCCTTTAAAAAAAAATCTTGAGTAGATTTTATTTTTCTAACCACCCAACACCTTCTCATCTATTTATAAAAAATTCAAATGACAGTCTTACCTCCAACCAAAATACAGTGCCTTGACCCTATCCTATGCCTCTGCTATCCCTTGAAGCTTTGGTATGCCCCTGCCATATCCCAGCACTTCCACAGTGGGTGGCCCACATGGGTCTAAGCAAGGGGGCAGAAGCTAGAGTGGACAAAAATACAAAAACAATTGAGATCTCTAGCCCTAGAGCCAGACTGCCTAGGTTCAAATACCTTCTCCACCTTAATTTGCTGTGTGACCTGGTGCCAGTTGTTATTCACTCTCTCTCCTCCTGAGTTGCTTCTGTAAAATGGGGACTAAGCAGTGCCCATCCTGGAAGGCACAAAGGACTTCTGGGACAGCAGGTGCTGGGCACACAGGGAGGGCCACATGAGCACAGGGGCTGGCTTCTAGGGCCCTGAGGGCAGAGACTGAACACAATTAAATTCTAAGACTTTGGACCCTCTGTCCCTTCTCCAAATCCTCCAGAGGTCATATCTTAAGCAGAAGAGGCAGTGGGTTTAATTGGGGTAGGGTTCAAACCACTGAAGAGGAGAAGAACCAGCAGAGCAGAGTGGGGGTACAGCCCAGAGGGAGGTGACTGTGTCATGGGGCTGCACTAAGGAGTAAAGGGCACTGAGCAGCCAGAGGGAGGGGGCTGTGGCTCTGGGGCTCTGGCACTGTCAGCCTGCCCAGAGGGGAGGTGGCTCCTGTTCACCCCATTTCCCCTGCTGGCTGGGCTGCTGGGTTGGGAGTGGCCTGGAGCCTCAGCCATCAGTCAGCACTGCCCCACTTCCTACCTCCCGCTTCACTGTGTTGAAAGCACCCAAGCAGCTTCAGCTGTACAATTATAGGGGCTTATCCGAGATTTATAGCAGGATTATGCCCGCAGGGTGTTACCAATGCCAGCTTCTGGACACTCTGTGGTCCTTAGGAAAAGCAATTAGAGTCCTGGGGCCATAAGGGTATAAATACACAGATGCCATCACCCAAGGTCGAGGTGATGCACCAGGCAAGCTGTTTAGAGACAGAGACTTGGGAGAGACCAGGAGAGGCAGAGGGTCCTCTCTGCAGGCAGGTGGGTCTGCAGGATGGAGAGGGCCTCCCTGGCTTCCCCCACAGCCCACGACAGGGACCCAAGAAGCCACATGGGCCCTCTACAAGCTGCCCTCTCCTAGCTCCCCCAACCCAGGTAGAGTTCCGCTGCCCCCTAGATGCCCACAGTCACAGCCCACTTGGGCTGTCCACCTCTGCACCACCATCAACACAGTCCCAGCAAGTGACCCAGGATTCAGGTCCCTGTTTGGCTGCTGGCAGTGCCTGCTAAGGTGTTAGCCTTTGTTATGGCTCAGTTGCTTATCTCTGACAATACCTGGAAGCTTTGTCACTAGAGTGTCTGAGGACAGCAATTTAACGTAATGCAGTGAGCTTAATGGGGGTAGGTGGCATAGAGGTAGATGGAAGAGACCTCAGGGAGAGCAAATCACCTGTCAGAGTTCCTCAGACCCCACCCACAGGGACTCACTGAGCCCAAACCAGTGTCAGCCACCAGTTAATGGGAGACACACCCACACCAGCCCCTCACCCCCACCACAGACAGCTCCATTTTAGGTACTCCAAATCCCGACTCCTCCAACAACCCTTGCTTGGAGAGCCTACCTGGCTGGCCACCAGCTCCCATGTCCCCGATATCTCCTCAAAAAGGCCCTGCATCAGCACCTTTTCTCTTCCTCTCTGCCATAAGGAAGGTGCCACCCTGCAGGGCCCCATGCCAGGAAACTGACAGTCCCTTCATGTGCATGGCACATCTGCAAAGGCCTCACTCCCACTATGCACAAAGGGACTCCTGTGCCTCAGTGAGGCCAGTGAGGCCACGGGACAAACCCCATTGCTCAAAGAGGCTGAAGCCCACATGGGGATGGCTGGACAACTTGGTCACACGTTGTGACCCAACTTGGTCGCTGTCTGCAACACCCCACCCCCATCCTGTGCCCAGCATGACCCTGTAGCCAGGCACTTGACTCACCATCCTCACGGGATTTCTGGATGAAGGCCTCCACGCCGCTCTCACCGTAGCTGCCCTCTGAGGCCAGTGTGGACACATAGTTCCACTTGAGGGCACGGACGATGTCCACCATGGCTTGGGCCTGATATGTGTCCGAGGGCACCACGCGGGAGAAGAAGTCGTAGCGGCTGTTGTCACTCAAGTCAGGGGCTGTGGAGGCGTAGCTGATCTGGGGTATCTGGGGGGTGAGAGGGGCTGCTGAGAGGGGCGGCTGGCACCCAGCCTGCCCAGCCAGCACCGTACCTCTACACACCAACCTCCCTCCCGTTCCCATGGCTTTGAACCACCCAGCCCATCCTCCCTGGGGTCACTGCCTTCTCTCACCCTGCAGCAGACCCTATGGCATTAGGAAGACAGGTCCTAGCCTCACTCATAAGAGGAAGAAACTAAGGTCCAGAGAGGGTCAGCAAGTGGTTGGTCAGCCCTATCTCTGACCAGGGTTCTGATGCCATCTGCATCACATTCAGTTCTCCCCAGTCCTGGCCATTCCCAGCAGGTGTGAGGCCAGCAATTAGGTCAAGAAGGGACTGGCACGGCAACATCAAGCCTTCCTCCTCCAGGAAGTCTTTCAGATGACCTTCCCGGGTCCTGCACCTGGTGGTCCCCAAAGATACCTTAATCCCCCACCAAGACATAAACATATGTACATACTCATATTCACATACATATGCACACACATGCACACAAACACCAGGAGCCTCTGGGTGCCTCTATTTACATACAAAGCTATAAGATCTCAGCCCAGGGAAAATCCCCAGGTAGGTGAGATGGCTTAGTCTGGAGTTAGGGATGGGACTTGGGTGTCAAGAGGGGCCCCAAGGGGTCATTTGGTCCTTTCTCTGCCCCTGGGCAGCCCCTCCTGTCACTGCCCGGCAGACCCTGTTCCCATAGTTCCCTGCTGGCCCAGGCATCATTAAGATTCAGGCCTTGCAGGACTTCAGGCCCTGGGGCAACTAGAAGAGGGGAATGTCCTGGGACAGGAGGTGGGGGATACTCCCTGATAGGTGATCACCCACCCAAACCAGACAGCTCCCCTCTTAGGATGGGGGGGCAGAGGTTTTGCCAACCTAGAAACCCCACTCCCATAACCAGACATTGAACTCTATTCACTTCAATAAAGATTTTTCCAAGCACCTACCATGTCCTAAGTGCTGGGGACACACACAGAGCTTCCTTCTAGTGGGAAGAGAGAAGCACAGCAAGCCAGCAAATGACCAGGGCCATTCCCACAGCAATGAGGCCCCTAAAAGTGGCCCAAGTATGTAGGACAGCTAAGTGAGCAGGTGACAAGGCTGGGAAAGGCCTTTCCAGGCAGAGCCAGCATGAGCAAGGTTGGGAAGGTATCTGAGCCACAGGGAAGCAAGTCCCCAGGTGAACAAGCTTGGTCTGGGAGGTAGAAGCCAGTATGGCTGGAGCTGAGTAGGGAGGGGAAGTCAACACACAGTAGTAGCCTATTGGACAAATGACTAACAGTAAGACTGACCAGACTGACCAGAGACTGACTAACAGCAGTGGGGGTGACCTTCCACTAAGGATGACCATTGCCAAAAGGGCCCAGCTCTGCCCTGTGATGCCTGCCCCAGCCAGGCCCCTCACTGCCTTCCCTCACAGAATCAAATCTCTGGGGCCTTCAGGGATGAGGATGGCAGCAGAGGAAACAGTTGATTGGTTTTTTGGATTCTCTGAGCAATTAAAGGTTAACTCCCAGGCCTACTCATTGCAGTCTGTGGTCTTAATAAAATGATGTGTACTACATTATTCACTGTGGCACTGTAACAATAAAATTACAGAAACAACCTGCATGTCCCTCAGGCAGGGATTGGTTAAAGTTACAGCTATGCAAGGAGTACTACGCAGCTATAAAGAAGAACGAGGCAGATTTCCATCCACTGTTCTGGATGGTTCTTCCAAGACATTGTAGGGTAAGAACAACAGTAACAAGGAAGCCAGGTGCAGAATGAAGGGGCTTATGGCCTGAAAGGGAGGCATAGCTCATGCTGTCTGAAGCCAGCTGTGAAGCTGTCTCAAAGGAGGGATCCGGGCAGGGCTGGGGAACAGCAGCTCTATCCTTCATACGTTTCCAATGCAGAACCATGCAAATGTGTCACCTATTAGAAAGCAAACCACACTCGAATATACACGAATGTCCCCTCTCATTCGTTCTGTCAAAAGTGTCCATAAACAAGCTGAGTCCTCTCTGCCTCAGAGAACATTTAGCATGAAAACAGCATCCTCTAAAATGTGAACTGATTGGATATTTAATGATTAATTTTAAAAATATTGTCATTTTTGAAGTCTGAGAATGGTATTTATTATAGCTGTGGACAACTGGCTTGCTTTTAAGAGACTTTATCTTTTGGAGCAGGCCTCTCAGCCCTAGCACTACTAACACTTAGGGGGGCTGTCCTGTGCATCAGAAGATGTTTACAGTACCCCTGTCCTTGTCCGCTCAATGCCAGTAGCACCCTCCCTGCTCTCCAGTTGTGACAACCAAAAATGTCTCCAGACATTGGCAAATGTCCCCTCTGGAAGGGGTGAGCTAAATTTGCTTTAGTTCAAATCCCAGCTCTGCCACTCACCAACAGGGAAGACTTGGGAAAGTTACAGCCTCAGTTTCTCAAGCTACAAAATGGGAATTAATAACTGTCTCATAAGGTTGTGGGGGTCACATGAGGGAATTCATGTAAGGTACTCAGAATAGCACCTGGCTGGGCATTGTTCACACAAAAAGCTAGCCCCTGTGGGAGACATAATTCCTCCCACTAAACCTTCCCTGCCTTCTCTTGCCTCTCTCTGTGACTTTTTTTAACCCCCAAAGATTCTGCCTCTCTGCCTCCCCACTCCCATTCTGAGCTCTTTCCATAGTCACATCATTGTCATTGTCATGGTGACGTCCTGGGAATGTAATAGGCTCTCCAAGGCTCTCCTGCCTCAGCCCAGAATGAAGGGGTTAGAGTGAGGTGGGAGCCAGGGACCACCATGGGGACACCATGGGCAGGGCAGGGACATGTCTCCATCTAAGCAGGTGACCATGACAAACTGGCCCACAGGGTGCTCTGACATCTCTTCAGCTCTCACTGTCCCCGCAGCCCAGCTGGAGCAGGAGGGGGATGTTCCATTTACATTCTCTGCAGAGAACACACCTCTTCTCCAACCACAGCGGCTGGAGGGGAGGGAGGCAGCAATGCCCACCCCGTGCCAGCTGCTCTCTCTCTCTGCCTCTTCCCTTCCTTCATCTGACGCACGAGCACCTACTGTATGCTGGACACTGTTCTAGGTGCTAGGGCACCACATCTTGTGTCACATCCTCATGGGGCAAGTGCCAGCAAGAGCCCAGAGTCCAGCAGAACCAGACCAACAACAGGCATCTGCTCCAGACCCATCCGTCCGTCCCTTTCTCTTTCCTCTCTGCCTGTCTTCTGCCCTCAAAGCCCAAAACCTTATTGCCCCACACCAAAGCCCGCTTGTTCATCAAGGCCCAGCTCAAATGCCACCTCCTTCAGGCCGCTCCAGGGACACCAGGTCCATCCTCCTGGTGCTATGATTCTCTGCTTGCCAATTCAACAAGCCTCCTAAGCTCCCCTCGCCCTGTAGTGCTAGGCAGATGTGGAGGTGAACTGGATACACCCCACCCCCAAACACTAGTCAAAACCTACCATATCCTGAAGGCATCAGCAAAGAAGGCAGAAAATGTGCAAAAAGTGCTTAGTTGGCTGGGCCCCCTGAGGAGGAACAGGCTGTATGCCTGCCCAGGTGACACACAGTGTGTCCACAGCTGCCACCCCAAAGTCTCAGCTTCCATTAGGAGTGAGAGACTGAGAGGGAGGGAGTAAATGAATAAGCCTCCTCCCTCTCTCTCTGCCTCTCCCTCTCTCGCTCTGGCTTCTGAAGTGACAAGGAGGTCCATGCCACGTGGGGAAAGACAAAAGCTGTTTCTAGGCTTGAACAACAATGAAGATGTATTCCTACATCTGTGTGTGAGAGAGAGTGTGCATGTGCCCGGTGCTCTGAGCACATGGGCGCACAGCGCATTCATTCAGTGAGTCCTCCTACAAACAGGCACCAACCCCACAACCACGTGTAGTTCCAAGTGTGAGGACTGACCACAACCCAGCTCTCAAGGGGCTCCAGTCTAGACAGAGGCAGGCCACAGAGAGGTGGGTAGCAAAGCTACCGAGTTGTTAGATGGGAATAAGGAGCCAGAAGAAGAAAGAAAGAGGGGAGGAGCAGGGGCCTGTTAGAGAGGGGCTGGGGAGAGGGGCTGGGGTGACACTTTGGCAAGACCCAGGAGGAGATATTTAAGGGAGGGTGTTTAAAACAGAGGGAACAGTCAGTGCAAAGGCCACAAGGGCATATGTGTATGCATGTGTGTGTCCCCAAATACATGTGTGCTTAGAGCGTGGATCCAGGCAGCCCCAGGAGTGGCCAGCAGCCCCACACCTGGCCAGGCACACCAGCACTGGCTGACACAGCTCCACAGCTCACTGCTTCCCAGACCAGCAGAATCTGAAAACCCCCTGAGAGCAGCTGGTCCTCCTCCGCCATCCACAAGAGAGATGGGTGGGGGGCACCTGCCCAGCTCTCAGAGCTGTCCCAGAGCACGGTCCTCAGGATCTCAGAAAGTGTTTGAGGCTGTTCAGAGCTGTCAGGAGTGAAATCCCACCCTGTTCCCCACGAAGCCTGGTGTGCTTCAAGCCACATGACCAGACATCCAAGGCCATCTCTGTGGATACCCCAGGGGCTACCTGGCCCACACCACAATCCTCTATCTGTGAACTTTATTCTCCTGGCCGCTTGTCCACATCTAACAGACTCAGTAGCTTTACTACCCACCTCTTTGCAGCTCACCTCTGTCTGGACTGGAGCCCCTCAAGGGCAGGAGTCCACCTTCCCTCTCCTCCTTCTCCCTAATGCGTAGTACAGCACATAAGTTTCCAGCACACATTGGAGCCAGCCTGCCAGGGCTACGTAATCCAGTTTTGCTCTCTAGCTTGATCCAGGCAATCAAACAAATTCTCTAGGCCTCAGTCCCTCCTTCAACCCACAAAGTAATCACAGTAACAATAGAGAGGACCTCATTAGTGAATACACAGAAAGGGCTTGACACATGGGGTCCCTGGGCAAATGCTAGATATTCTTATTAAAGAAAAAGAAAGGGCTGGGACCATTGTGCCCATT